GGGATTCATCGATTAAAGTTTTTTTTCAACATTTATAATTAAGTTGAAATTTAAGGTGGAAAATGTCACAGCCATATATAACTGCGATTTCTCCGATTAAACAAGGAAAAAATCTCGCTATGTCTTTAAAATTTAAAGTTTTTAATATGGAATAGATCAGATTAAAATGACCTAAGGTTTTGTGATGATGAGTAATCACTCATGCAGACAAAATGGCGCGAAAACATTGTGGAGATTGACGCGCGCGTACGGCCTCACCATGAGCTTGTAAGACTATACGGAAAGCGGTTTTTAATGTGCTTTGAACAATAGAAGCCTTACAATTGTTGATTTAAAGAACACTGAGTCCTCAAAATACAATTGATATAATACATAAGCAATAAACATGTCATACACAAGAATTTTTTTTCGACACTGCGACATTTCTCTATCCAATCGGTTCACTATTACAACGCCCACATTTCCTTATTAATCAACTTGTATTGTTTGTCGACAATCCGATGAATTTGAGTATAGTTGGTTTGAAAATATCAGACTTTTTTATTCTATAGACTTGTTTTTAGTATAAATTTTGATTGAATTCATTCTTGATTATGCAAGATGTAATGACTACCCGTTCGGCACAGGTGTTTATCTATACAGATTTCCAGTCCTTTCGTTTTCTTTATAATCAACCAACGGCCACATTACATCCAAAAACAGCGGCAAACAGATTGTACAATATTAAGTGACATACAAAGACGTATTGGTAATTTTAATAAGACACGTTGGAATATGTCAACAATACATATCTAGCACTGTTTTAAATAGGAACTCAGGTTTCTCAAAATTAGGCACATTATTTCTCTTGACTTATACACTACATTAAAGCTTATATACAAGGCTTGTCAATTTTATTTCGCGACATCTGGACAAGTTTTATTAATGGATTYTGCTGTAGACCAGTTGACATACAGTCAAAGCGTTGTCATTTGGTCTGCGTGACTATGCGGTCAACTTGCCTTCAAAGTAAGTCAAGAAAAGTCTCAAGGGAAGTGCGACTCTTGTCATAATCTGTAATTACAAGAGAACTAATATATAATTACTCTTCAATATCCCTTCTTCTTTTCTTTGCTTTCAATGTTGATAACATGCAATGCTTAGCCTAAGCCATCAAAGACTAAGTAGTGTACAATACAAATTAATGTATTTTCTAATTTAGCTAGATATGTCGCTGAACAATCGGTAGAAATATTCATGTCTAATTTGAGTTAATTATCGTTGATCAGATATCATAATGACATATGTAACGTTGGCCTGTTGGCCATTCATTAAACTTTGTCATCTTTAAAAGCGGTAGTAGATTGGCTTTATTAAGGCCTAAGCCTAAAATCCATAATGGATAATCCATAATGGTTTAAATTGCATAATTTTCAAGACTTTAATTTTCTCTGTAATCTTGAGGAAGTTTTGCGCGCGGAATTACTAGCTGCGCAAGCCCATTCACAGCGATAATAAGCGCAAGCACAATGAAAAAGCGCAAGGAGAAATAGAGAATATTACATATGGACGCGCGGAGATACGGATTTTATCTTCGAGTGTTGAAAAGATCTCTCACGAGTTAGCGTAGCGAACGAGTGAGAAATTTTCAACACGAAAAGATAAAATTCGTATCTCCAAGCGACCATGTAATATTCTATTTATCATATAATTGCATATGAAAGCAAATTATGTGGTAAAATAGCTTTTTTTTTTTAACTTCCACTATATAAGGAAAACCGCGAATGTGTTATTTTCACTATGAAGATAACAACTTTACGAAATGGAGAAATATAGGTATTTCATAGATAATTATATGATAAAAGCAAATATCATATGAGTAAAAACAACTAAGCGAGCGCAGAGACAAAAAACAAAAATCTCTTTTTCTTCGCATTTTTTTTTCCTTTTCTATCTTTAGCTATTTTCTTATGCGAACTTTGCACAAATGATCCGCGGGATATATTGAAATCAGTTTCAGTGGTCTTATAGACTGAAAACCAGCGACCTTTACTCACCGTCACAATGATCTTCGTGCGCCTTAACTGGCAAAGACTTCCGCAAGACAGTACAATAGACCTTTTTTTCTGAAATACAAAACCATAGTGCATTGTGGTCTAGCTTCAGTACTAACAACACCATATTTGGCAGCATGAACAAAATATGTTTGTACAGAATCCAGACCAGAAGTAAATGCGTAATGCTATTTTAGAAAAGTCGTATATGTTAATCTAGTTAATCTTGCATGGGGACAGTCAGCGCCGATCTGAACGAATCTCATGTTAAGTTGAGAAAACAATGGAAAACAATCATAGTTTACCAAATAAATAAAAACATAACATCAAAATAGAGCTGCTCTTATTGATAGCGTTCCCTGATATAATGGCACCAATCACCCTATGCGAAATGCATAGCTGTTGTTTCCTATGAAGAATCTTGAACAATACAAAAAAGCATTTTTGGGCGATAGGGACGTCGTGGACGATTGTATGGACACTCCTTGAGTAGCAATCAAACAGCAAGCTTTGAGTAGTACTGAGTTACTGTAATCTGAGGACTCTCTATCCCTTCATTGCCTCGATTGGTAATTTAACATTGGATTATTGCAGATATTTTACCAGTGTCCCACACGTGCCTGGCTCAGACGAAAGTCACCAACAAGCKCAGCGAATGAAAGAGGAATGGACTAACCATGGATTAGACAAAGTAGAGTTGATCAAGTATGATATACTGCTATCGTTTCCAAAGAAGAACGTACTACCCCTTGCAAGAATTATAAATAGTTCTAGCGGTGCTGAGGTCTTCCGAGCAAGGCAGAAAGAAAAAACCGTGGAGGCCAAGGAAGATAACGATAAAGTCTTGCCACCATTCAATGCGTATTCTGCAAGTGGAAATGTTACGGTTAGTCATTCTTGTTAGTTTTATAATTACAATGAACAGCTTGCTGTCCAGCAATACCTTTGAGACGCTTATCAAGAAAGCTTTTTGCTATTTTTAGAAGAAAATACACTATCAAAATACGTTGTCAAACTGCCATTCATGCTTAAGTGCAAAAGATGGTCCCAAGTAAAACTGTAGAAAAAGGCCAAACGTCCCGTCTTGACATCTTCCGCATCGACACCTAATTGTTAAATATAAGTCAGTCAAAGAAGACATTCAAACAAAAGTAGCGGGTCCATAATCCGTTTGTAGTCATGCAAGGCTTCTGGCTGTTATAAAGTCTCCAGCAAGCTTTGTCACTAATATAATAATCAGCCAATCAAAGTCGCTGAATATAGATTTACACTCGCCAAAGCCAATCATAGCTTGCGTTATGTAAACGTTATGAAAAATGTTTCCGGAGGAATACAAGCTCTTTCAATACCAGCAAAAGGACATTGAAAATAGAAGATTAGATCACGCTTCGAGATGTAGGCTTAACAAGAATTATTCAAGAATAATTTATTGACGTTGTTATTACTCGTTGACATATCTGTCTTCTTATTTCAGGGGCGGTTGGTTTTTGTAAACTATGGGAGAATCGAAGACTTCCAAAAGTTGAATAAATCAGGAATCAATGTAACAGGAAGGATTGTCATTGCTAAATATGGAGAGATCTTCAGAGGCAACAAGGTATAAAAACTTCAAGCGGTTTTTTGTACCAATTTCAAACTTCTGGATAACAGGATTTTTACAGTGCGTTAATTAACTATAATGATCTGTGATTGTTATTTTTAGGAAAAGTACGCTCAAGAACATGGTGCCATTGGTCTGATTCTATACTCAGACCCTAAAGACTACAGCCCAGGCGTCTCTCCTAACGACACTTATCCCAAAACATGGTGGCTACCTTCGTCAGGTGTTCAACGGGGGTCGATATTCATGAAATCAGGGGACCCCTTAACAATAGGCTATCCTTCTATTGGTAGGTCACTGGTCAGTCAAAACATAACGTTTTATCCCGCAGGGTGGAGAGGGGAGAATACTGTACTGCATTAGAAAGAATGAAATGATTTTTTTTTTCATGGGCATATATAACATGGGTGGGAGGGGCCGGAGGGTTGGAGGCGGTCACTCCTATAAGTTCTGCTTTTGAAACCGCGCAACCGCTCAACCGACTTAGCGCAAAACTTGCTACTGTTGAGCCCCATTGTTTTCGTCATTGCAATGACGCGTAAAAATGCAAATATGCCGTCGAGAATCTCCACAGAAGCATTTAGAAAAACGCTTTTGTCGTAAAAAGAAGCATTCCAGACTTTTATAATTGAACACCAAAACCAACGAGGTGAAATTAAACTTGAGGTTCCGATGCTTTTCCGCGTGAATGAATAAGAGAGTCTAGTTCAATTTTATAAGAAAGTCGAAAAGCACACCAAGCTATCTTATGTAACAAACCTTATGAGATTTAGTCAAACTTAACAGCGAGAAAACAGCAAGATGGCGACGAGATTGATTAGATATCATATTTAAAAGAAAGGACAACACATAAATTGGTTTATTGTTCAGTTTCTACTGATTTTCAATATATGTTATAACATAAAGAATCGTTAGCCGAGGAAAGGTAGTCCAACCAGTTCGTAAACGACTTTTTTGAATAATTTGGCTAAAAATGCATACTTGAAAGCTTCAATGTACGGTTTGTCATGCTTAGTTAAAATCTAAGTGAGTAGTTCTGTTATCATTCCTTCATCTTGCTTATCTCTTCTTTTCCTTGTATTAATATTTGAATAAAAACTAACATCTATTTTAAAAGATAACAGAAAGAATACTCGTAAAARTTACCCCTGAAGTATACATTTTTTCCATAAAACAGATCAAATCAGATCAGCMTTCATCCTTCAGCTCGAAAAAGCTGCCGTATATTTGTCACTAATACTCCAAAACWTGTCCCAAGGGTATTCATGTTTACTTGAAAAAATTAAATTGAGTAACTAAGGTGAATTGGAAACTATTTATTAGAGACCATTACTGTTAATTCAATTTAATTTAACCACAAGTCGTATAAGATATGACTATAGTTCAGTTGAATATAGCAAACAGCTCGTAAAATGTTCCTAAACTGTGTTTCCTGACTCAAACTTTGACAGCAAGTTTCCGTTCTGAATGTAATTGTTGAATTAGATTCATTTTAGCTTTATCAAATTCATTTTTCTAATATTAGTCCGTCATTCCATTCTTCATATCTCTTAGTATAAGATTAAACTACTTTGCGAAGAGGAAGGGCTATAAATATTAGATCATCAAACAAGGTTGTTTTTTAACTGGCGGAAAGGTGGTCATTTTCAAACAGGTTTTTTTTTCTGTGCTGCGGATTGATAATACTGCCAGTAAAGCCGTTTTGTTCAAACGCGTTTCAAGGAATTTTCTTTTCTCTTATCTCTAGTTCACATGGGAAATGTACATAGTATAATTTTGAATTTTGTTTTTCGATCTACTCGTTCTTCTGAAGAATACTATGTGAAGTTCATGGTTAAATCAAGTCTATCAACAATTCGCGCGCCCTCATTGCTTTGTTTTATTTTATTCTATTTTTTATTTTTTTCATTTTAATTATTTCTATTATGCCCCTGAACAAAAATATGTATACAATTAGTCCTAATCTATGAATGTGTCGTTTCATCTGTTAACCTAATAACAATATGAAAAAAGTTTCAATCTAACGACATGTTTGTCCGTGTTATTCTACAGAGGGAATGTACAGAACACCAAAGGAAGATGCTGGGCTGCCTAAACTACCMGTTTACCCKATCTCAGCGAGCGACGCCAAACATTTCCTCAAGTAAGTCTACCTCTGAGATAGCTCACTAGCCAAGATCTCGACAAAWTATATGCCAGCATATGACGTTCCCTGGGGCGATATGACGTCACATTATTAATAACGCAATTGACCCGATCTAATATATATGATGAATGATAAAAGAATACTAAATACAAAGAAAACCGCTTTCCAATATTGGACTCTATAAGACTTAAGTAGATTCATTTCTACGTTTTTTTTTATGCACGCTTGGTCTGTTTCCTTGCGGAAGAAAGGAAGTCCCTCCCTAATAAAATTCTTGTAAAGAAGCGGGGATGATCCAATTGTCGCTTTTTTATGAGTGATAGCAATTTAGCTAATCATTTAATGAAGATCTCCACTCCATGAAGGCAGTCCCTACCCTGCCCTCCCCTMMCGAGTAGGYCTTTAGTCTTACCATACATCATGACGTTTATGTGTTCATAGTTTGCTGAAGAATGAGAAAGCTCCCGATGACTGGCAAGGAGGGCTGGATATGGATTATTACCTTACCATGCCTGATTCCACTAACCTGTAAGTTCATTTAGAGTATATTTGTGAAGTGAGCATAGGTGCGGGATACAAAGGGTGCGCAGGGGTTTCAGCTTTGTTTTGCAGGTTGGAGACTATGAAGCAAGCAATTGACAACAAAACTTTATTAAAAGAAAACTTAATATTAAAATATTATTTTGGGTTCAAAAACTGTCGGAAGTGCTTTATAGGCAATAAGGTTTTTAAAATGCGCTTTCTCTCTTCAGCGAAGTGAATCTCAATGTACAAATGGACTTGAAAACAATGCCTGTCTACAATGTTATGGGTGTACTTCGAGGGTCTGTTGAACCAGGTACGCTTTTCCATCTCTTTTGCCAATAAATCATGCTATATATACAGCACTTTGAAAAACTCAAAATATAAGCAATTTGCATTGTGGACCTATGCTGATCTGTTGGCGTTGAATTCAGTAGGCAGTGTGCATATACTTCAAGGCATGATTGGGAGTTGTAGAGCCTTATTATGGCCCCGAAAAGAATCTCCCTATAAAAGCTATTTTAATTATATTTCTCTGTAGAAAAGGCAATGCTACTTTTATTTTTGTCAAGAAAAACAACCGGCTTAGGAGGAGCGATTTTATCGGACATGAAAGGGCTACAACACCAATATCGCTTTTTCCAACAAAAAGGCGTTACTGACAATTCAAAATACTCGAATATTAATCACTAGCGCATCCAGATGGCTTTGCCCAAAATTGATGCTTTTTGACAAATATTATGTGTTTGATTCCAAATATGGACTGGCACAGCTAAAAAATATCAGCAAAGCAAACAATAAAACGAAAAAATGCCCTAACAATAAGCAAAGACCTCACATATAACAATGTTGTCTTTGCAGATCGTTTGGTATTATTTGGTAACCATAGAGACGCATGGGCGTTTGGTGCTGTAGATCCATCAAGTGGTACAGCGACATTGATGGAGACTGTGCGAGTCATTGGTCGTCTGAAGAAACAACAAAGTACGTTACATGAGCCATCACTAGGCCCTATTACTAGACGTGTCTATTTTTAGATTTTTAGTCATCTCCTCAGTTGCAGTATCTTCACTAT